ATTTTTATTTCTTATATTTACATCAAAATATTCAAAAATTATTTTTTTCATAATTTTTTTAGCATATTATGAATGAAATAGTTTTGTTTTTTAACTAGTAAAACAAACAGTTTTACAAAATTACATCATTTGAAAAGTTTTTAAAAGAGTAACTAAATAAAAGCATAAAAATATTTAACTTGATTTTTACTAAAAATTTATATTTTAAACAGGCTTTATTTCACCTGTGTAAACTGATTTGCAAGGATGTGGAGGCGGGTGCCAGCTATAGCCTGTCTTTTCTGCCGAAGTCTAAGTTTAAGCACAGTACTTTAGGGACATGGCTTTTATTGTTGGCAACATTTGGCTTACAAATTGACCGCTCTACCACTACATCATTACCCCATTTCTTGGTTGATTTTTTAGTCATTACCCCATTTCTTGGTTGATTTTTTAGTCATTACCCCATTTCTTGGTTGATTTTTTAGTCATTACCCCATTTCTTGGTTGATTTTTTAGTCACTAATTCTAGATCAAAAATTCTAGATCAAACTAATCCTAGATCAAAATTTTAGTATCACTAATAAAGTGCAAATCTAAATTCTATAGAAATATTCCATATAAAAATTGTTAATTATTTGTTTTAAAAATGTTTTCTTTTGTACATAATATTTGTATAAAAAACTGTTGAGAGTTCAAGACCATTAAATATGTAGATAAATAGCATTATTTTCATCAAATATTATTACGTTAATGTTTTTAATGTTAGTAATGTTATTTAAATACGTATAAATACAAAATAAATCAAAAAAAAATTTTTTTTTGATTTATTTTGTTGATAATTTATATTAAATTATATTAATTATATTATTAAAATTTGTTAAACTATGTTAATTATGTTAATTACGTTTTCAAAAGATGAAAACAAAAGAATTTAAAAGATCAACATAATTTTAAACTTAATTTTGTTGTTAGATTTTTTTCAATGTAATATTTTATTGTTGGATTTTTTTCATTTGATTTTCATTGACCAATCAAAGTGAATGGTTATTAACATTAACCAATCAAAGTGAATGGTTTTTAACAATAACCAATCAAACAGGGTAAAAAACTGACAGGTATGACAGTTATATGGTGGAAAATGTTGTGTTAGAATAAAATGTTCAGAGTAAATAAAAAAGTTTAAAGCTATATACAGAATAAATAATAGACAATAAGTAAGTAAATGACAGACAAGAAAATAAATATATATATATTTTTTTGTATGTTTTGTATAGGGTATCTGAAAACAAGTACAAAATTATTGATTTTTTTTCAATTAAAAGTTATATTCAAAATTAATAAATAATACAAAATCATTGGTTTTTCTCCGATTGCTACAATAAAATGATCTGCGATAGACAAGTGTCTTTTTTATTCCCAGTAACCTCAAAGGTAATACATGGTTCTATTTAGGTCTTACATTGTTTTTTATTAACTATAAATTCCAGTTTTTTAATTTTAACCATGGTTTTCATCATTTTTAATTTTTGACCAATCATTATTGCAATAATTTTTATCCAATCAGATTCTTACTACAGTTTTGATATTTCTCATGGAAATTATACATTATATCTGTTTGAAAACCAGCATTTGTAATGGTTTGGAAACCATGGAAACCATGGTTGTCTCTTTTTTATGTATTTATTACTTAACTTGCATTTTAAAAACAAATTCGTTAAAACAATAAAAAGCAGTTTTTTGATGTTGTCCTTGACAACATCAAAATCATTGTTGACTTTTCTTTTCTGAAAAAGAGAGCTTTAATTATTACAGTGATTGAGGCCATACTGCAAATTTTGATATCTGATTATAAAGCTGTGTCCAAATATAGTGGTTAACAAACAAGTGTATATATAAAAAAAAAAAAGTAACATTAACTTAAAATAGAATTTGGTGCAATGATTAAGTAAAAATAAGGCTTATTGTAAACAAAACTTGATCAGAACAGATCTAAAATATAATTTTTCAATTATCAAACATAGATGATCACAGTTAATGAATGGACACTCATACTCAAAACAAAATTTACAAAGTTAGCTATAAACTTAAATATTGTAGATTTATGGGAATGAATTGAGGCATCTTCTACCTACTACTTTGTCTCCAGATCTTCTGAATTTTTTACCTGAAGAAAAAAATCTCTTATTGTTATCAAAACCGTTGAATGTGAGCATCAAGGAAGAAATTACTTTTTTAAGTTTATATAGATACTCTCTTAATGAGAGAGTTTTCACTCAATTATCCATTATCTTAATCATATTTTTAAATTAGTAAATTAAATCAATCTAAATTGTTCACTTTTTGTTAAGATTTTTGTAAATTCATCTTTGATCTAAATCTAAACTAAAACTCAACTTAATATTACTACTAATAATTAGTATATGTAATAAATAATAATTAATGTATATGATAAATTATTATTAGTAGTAATAACTATTTTCTAGGGATATCAGAGCAGTTCATCACATTTATCCAGTCA